TAGAAGATGCCCGACCCTTGTTGTCTTTGTGCGGTTTGTCAGAATGCTGCTGGAAATTTAGTTGGGAACTTGTTTAGTGGAATTTCCATTCTTATCACAAAGCCAATTATTCTTGTGATACAGTGCGACAATAATGTTGACCATTTGAAGAACAAAGTTGCTGAGCTGAAGGATAAGAGAGAGACTGTGAAGACGTATGCTGAAACTGTTGAGAGAAGAGGGGAAGAGATTGTACCAGAGCTCAGGACTTGGCTGACCAGGGCCGACAATTGCATTGAAGCTGCAGAGAAATTAGTAGCTGATGCTGCAGAGAAATTAGTAGCTGATGCTGATGCTGATGCTGCAGAGATATTAGTAGCTGATGCCGAAGGAAATGCCGAGAAGAAGTGTTTCTTTGGGCCGTGTCTCACTGCCAAAGCTCGTTACCAACTCAGCAAAAAAGCAGAGGAGAATTCCAAGACTATTGATGAACTTGTGATTCAAGCTCGTGGATTCAACCTCCCGCTTTCCCACCTTCCTGCCCCACCAAAAGAAGTGGCCGCGCTTGTCAAAGATTTTGAGGACTTTCACTCAAGAAAGGATGTTCTGGAGAGGATCATGGTGGCACTGCGGAGTCGGAGCAGCAGCATTATAGGGGTGCACGGGATGCCTGGCATGGGGAAGACGATGCTGGCCAAAGAAGTAAAAAGAAAAGCAGAGCAAGACGAGCTGTTCGATGTGGTAGTTATGGCTCTTGTTTCAAACAATCCAGACTCGACAAAGATTCAAATGGAAATTGCCTGTGGCCTGGGTCTAGATCTGCTATCTAATGGAACTCCAACTGAGGTTGCTGCTAGACTTATTGAAGGCAGGGTGAAGAATAAGAAGGTTTTAATCATTTTGGATGATATTTGGAGCCCTGGAATAGATTTGAAGAAGCTTGGAATTCCTCTTAGAAACGAGCCAAAAAAGATTGAGGGTAGCTCGTCAGGAGAAGAAAAGATGGAGGGGAGCTCGTCAAGAGAAGAACATGTAGAATGCAAAATTCTGCTGACATCCAGAGATTCTAATGTTTTATCAGATCGGATGGGTTCTTTACAGAACTTTGCACTTGATGAATTAGCATTTGGAGAAGCATGGAATTTACTTAAAAAGATAGTTGGTGACAGAGCAGAGAGTGATGGGCCTGATGGCATACATAGTACGGCCATTGATATTGTCCGGGAATGTGGGGGCTTGCCCCTTGCAATTACAACAATGGCGAAGGCTTTGAAAAATAAGAAGCTTGTCGAATGGAGGGTTGCTTTGAGAGAACTAAGAAAGCCCTCTGCAGAAAACTTCAAAGGCGAATCTGAAGTTGTTTATAAAGCTATTGAACTCAGTTACTCTCATTTGGGAACCGAGAAGCTCCAGAAAACATTTCTGCTTTGTTGCCTAATGGGTCACAGGGCAGCCATTCAAGACTTGTTGAAGTATGGTGTAGGCTTAGGCTTGTTTGCTAACACCATAGAGGAAGCACGAGATGAAGTATGTACTTTGATAAGCAAGCTCAGAGCCTCTTCTTTGCTCATTGATAATTGTGGCAATGATTATTTTGATATGCATGACCTTGCTCAGCATGTGGGTGTATCAATCGCATGTAGGGATCGTCATGGGTTGCGGCTAACAGGTGATCACGAACCGAAAGAGTGGTCAGACATGGAGGCAAGGAGTGATTTCAAATGGATTTGGCTGCAAAAGGCTAATATTAATGAGCTTCCCGATGAGTTTGAAAGTCGTCATCTTACTCTTTTTCGTTTGGTTAATAATGATCCTTCTCTGCAAATTCCAGCAAACCTTTTTAAGGGAATGCCAAGACTCAAGGTATTGGATTTGACTTACGGGCATATGTCATCCCTGCCTTCATCAATTGGCCTCTTGCAGAACCTCCATACATTATGCTTGCATGACAACTCATGGCCATTCTTTTTGAATGGCAGCGTGTTGGACATACGTATTGTTGGAGAGCTGAAGAATTTAGAAATTCTTAGTCTTCCAGGGGCTGTTGTTGAAGAGCTTCCAAGGGAAATTGGGCAGTTAACTCGGCTAAAGTTGTTAGATTTGAGTAACTGTACCAAACTCCAAATAATTTCCCCACGCGTCTTCGCAAATATGTCCAGATTAGAGGAACTGTACCTGAGAAACAGCTTCGATGCATGGGAGGTTGAGGGAAATGAAAATCAAAGAAATGCGAGCATTGCCGAGTTGAAGCATTTGAAGGAATTAACTACATTGGCGGTATGCATTCCTGATATTCGGATGATCCCAAAAGATTTGTTCTTTGAAAAGCTGAAAAAATTCGAAATACTCATTGGATGTAAGTGGGAAGGCTGGTATAGTTCCTTTGCAAGCTCAAAAATATTGAAGTTGCATTTAAATGCATCCATTAGTTTTAACTGTTCAGTTAAAAAGTTGTTGAAGGTGACTGAAGTGCTACATCTAAGGGAGTTGGCAGGTGTAAAGAATGTGGTTGATGAGTTAAATACTGAAGGTTTTCCAGGTTTGAAGTATCTCAATGTCAAGAATGCTCCAGAGGTTCAACATATCATTAAATCAGTGGAGGGGGTCCCTTTCGATGCATTCCCCAGCTTGGAAGAATTAATTCTCCAGAATTTGATTAATTTGCAGAAGATATTTCAAGGCCGGTTCGGAGACACAGCTTTTAACAAGTTAAGAACTATTACTATTGAATGTTGTGATAAGGTAAAGAATTTGTTCTCTTCCTCTATAGCCAGACAGCTTCGCCATCTACAAGAAATTTCAGTGACAGATTGCAGCAATATGGAAGAGATTGTTGATGACGAAGAGCAAG